TTCGCCATCCTGCCGTCCTTATATGAAGGATCGTATCAGTCTATGTAACTACAGTCCATGAGTTAGAACCACGCATTCCGGTTGTGTCAGAATCAGCACCAGGACGCTGAACCCCTACGAGAGTGAGGATAACCTGGAAGATTCCAGACAGGCCGTGCAATTTTGTCGCCTGAGCCCTAAAAAACCTAAACCTAAACCCAGGACCGTGGAAGGCTCAAGGATTTTGAAAGTTGTTCTAGTCAATGTTTGTTTGGTCTTCCGGAGTCGCGTATGCGATGGTTTCTTATAGAAGGGATGATGCCATGACGGTCTAGAGTTTAGGGTCTTAGCAGAGGGAGCCCCCGGGCGACGAAGCAAGCCCGCTGCAAAAGGGTTTACGAAAGATGAAGTGTCACGAAAGGCTTCCCCCATCTTCATCATCAGGGTTTCCTGCAACTAATCATGGGGCAGTTCCAGGTTCTTAGTGACTCAACTTGTAGACATGTTGCGTCCAGGGCTCAGTGACTCAGGTACTTAGGCTTATGGATTATTGGGTAACTTCGGCTTGAATTGGACCGAGTCAAAACTTGTTCGTGCCATCATAAGCAGGACTTCAGTTCGAGGTTGAAGAGTTGTGGACCCCAGGGCCATCAAGCGACGGTGCTTGTGGGAGTACTTCTGCCGGTTATCGTCACGTTTCGACCCGTGCTGCACCTGCAGCCGCAAAGCAGGAGGTTGCCCCCTTTCCGAAGGCCGCAGCCACCAGAGTGCCGCACCGACAAGCGAAGAGGCGGAGGCGAAGCACAGCCCCAGCCAGCCGACTGCCCGTGCAGCTGCCAAGCCACCGACTCCTGCTGCGCCAGCAGCCCAAAAGCAGGAGGTTGCCCCGTTGCCGAAGCACAGCCCCAACCAGGCGACGGCACCTGCAACCGCCAAGCCACCGAGTGCTGCACCAACAGCCACAAAGGAGGAGGTTGCCCCCTTGCCGACGCACAACCGGAGCTGCAGTGATAGACATCCAAGGTCGAAGCGGCACGCCCGTCATATCTTGTGAATGAGAACAGTAATATAGTATGCCCCGACGGCCTGTTCGATTTGCTATAGCCCGCCTATCAGTTCCTGAAAAACAGCATGCTGCACGCCTTGTTCTTGCATTAGCACCCTCCCCCATCCCCAAGGTCTTTAGATGTGTAAACACTCACAGCAGCCAATTATGCAGGTGTACACAATATTACTCTATGTACATATACTGTAAATAGATAGGGTGAGAGAGAGAGAGAGAGAGAGAGAGAGAGAGAGAGAGAGAGAGAGAGGAGAGACACACACACACACACGACGAGACACAGAGTACGGGTGCACATAGATATCCTACTTCCGAACCCAGCTTAAGCCCCAGACTTACGTCCTGAGGCGTTTCATTTCGGACCTGTGGCATCTTGCCTCTCAAGTAGCACTTCACATGGACACCAGATTTCCGCAGCAGCTCATGATATTCCCAGCAACGCCAAACCCTAAACCCTAAAACCCTAAACCGTAAAACCCTAACCCTCAACCCTAAACCCCCTGCTTCACGTGCTTCAGATGGATCTCTCGTCCTCCTCCGAGGAGGAACGTCCCAAGCAGTGCTCCCGGAAAGTATGGCCCTTCCAGGCATAAGGCTCGAGAGTTTGAGGTTGAGGAGGGGTTTGGGGTTTAGGGGTATAGGGTTTAGGGGTTTAGGGGCCTGTCGTGGTGAGACGGTCACCTTTGTCCTGCAGGTTTCAGTCTTGCAGTGCTTCCCAGCTGATCGGCAGAGTCTGGGTTCAAAAGGGTTTAGGGGCCTGTGTGACACACAAAAAAACACCGATACGAAGTCCTTAAAACACGAGCATATGCAGCTTGTATCAAGCTCTAGAACGAACTTAGGGTCTATACGGGTTTATGTTGCTTTATTCGGTTGTCAAATTGTACTCGCGGCAGCCCGGAATCCCAAAGGTATTTTGAATTAGGAGGGGAACACGTACTATTTGCAGTTTGTGCGGTAGCGCAATCATGTAACTGGACAAGTGCCATGAACCCATTCGCTCTGCAGTGGTCCGCGACTCTCATCTCTACGACGGGTGGAGGTTCTGGGGTTTGAGGTTTCAATGGTTTAGGATTGGGGTTTGTACGGTTTGGGGGTCAGCGGTGAGTACGGTTTACGTAAGGGCAACGGTTGTAACCCTATTCTGTTTTATGATCTCCTTGTTAAATAGGAAGACCAGTATCCTTATTCGGGTACTTGGGAACCTGTGGTTGGAAGCCACTACCACTACCACCACCACCGCCACCGTCACCACCACTGCTACTGCTACTACTACTACTACTACTACTACTACTACTACTACTACTACTACTACTCCTACTACCTACTACCTACTACCTACTACCTACTACCTACTACCTACTACCTACTACCTACTACCTACTACCCACTACTACTACTACTACTACTACTACTACTACTACTACTACTACTACTACTACTACTACTACTACTACTGCTACTGCTACTCCTCCTCCTGCTGCTGCTACTACAACCACCACCACCCGCACCACCAGCACAGCCACCACAACCACCACCTCTGCAATTGCCAAAGAATCCTTTCTGTCTCTTGTGATACAGTAGAAGCCAGAAAGTTGGAATATAATTATCGTAATCCCTTTAAGGTAAATAATAATCCTACCATTAATCCATATTCCAACTTTCTGGAGTTCCCTTTACTGACTTTCTGAAGCTTCTTCAGCCCAAGGGCCAAGAAGGGCGGCGAAGAGGACGAGCATCTCCCGACCTTTCTGCTGGAGGCAAGGCCTCATGGGGCTTGGGACATCCAGGTAAGCAGGGCTTTAGTATTATTACCTATTGCTAATGTTATTACATGTGAAATCAGATGATTACCGTTACTGTGAGTATTGATGTCATCTGTCCATTGATAAGAACACAGTTTCAGTATTCTACTCTTTTGTGAAAAAAGCTCACCGTCTGTGGGTGACGATGGGCCTTGCCGCAACTCAAGAGCTTATGTAATTACTATCGGTAGTGTAACGTTTAGTTTGGGGGTTCGATTTCTGCGAGGCGTCGGAGATAGGGCTCCGAAATGGCATGTGGCGTGAGCATCGGCGGCGAGCCGTGGCCAGCAGCATCATGAGCATTATCGGCAGTTTGCTTTGTCAGTGTGGCACAGCCGCTGGCAACAGCCTGGCCATACTTGCAGTCACGACCAGTGTCGTGCCCATCATCGACCGCTTGCTTTGGTGGTTGTTGCCACGGCAAGCATTAAAAGCATCGGCGGCCAGCCATCGTGAGCGTCATCGACCGATTGCTTTTCAGTGTTGTGCAGCAGATGCAAACATCATCATGAGTAAAAGTGGCCAGCCAGGACCAGCACCATGAGCATCATCGAAAGTTTGTTTTGGAGAATTTCGCCATGGCAGGCGTTTTGCATCATCATGAGTAAAAGTGGCCAGCCAGGACCAGCATCATGAGCATCATCGAAAGTTTGTTTTGGAGAATTTCGCCATGGCACGCGTCGTGAGCATCGGCGGCCAGCCGGCGCTGACAACAGCCTGGCCATACTTGCAGTCACGACCAGTGTCGTGCCCATCATCGACCGCTTGCTTTGGTGGTTGTTGCCACGGCAAGCATTAAACACATCGGCGGCCAGCCATCGTGAGCGCAATCGACCGACTGCTTTTCAGTCTTGCGCAGCAGATGCAAATGAGTAAAAGTGGCCAGCCAGGACCAGCATCATGAGCATCATCGACCGTTGGTTTTGGAGATTTTCGCCATGGCAGGCGTCGTGAGCATCGGCGGCCAGCCGTCGCTGGCAACAGCCTGGCCATACTTGGCCAGTCAGGAGCAGCGTCGTGCCCATCATCGACCGCTTGCTTCGGTGGTTGATGCCACGGGGAGCATTAAAATTAAAAGCATCGGCGGCCAGCCATCGTGAGCGTCATCGACCGATTGCTTTTCAGTGTTGTGCAGCAGATGCAAACATCATCATGAGTAAAAGTGGCCAGCCAGGACCAGCATCATGAGCATCATCGAAAGCTTGTTTTGGAGAATTTGACCATGCTAGGCGTCTTGAGCATCGGCGGCCAGCCGTCGCTGGCAACAGGCTGGCCATACCTGGCCAGTCACGACCAGCGTCGTTCCCATCATTGAGCGCTTGCTTTGGTGTTTGTTGCCATGGCAAGCATTAAAAGCATCGGCGGCCGCCATCGTGAGCGTCATCAACCGATTGCTTTTCAGTGTTGTGCAGCAGATGCAAACATCATCATGAGCAAAGGTGGCCAGCCAGGACCAGCATCATGAGCATCATTGACCGTTTGTTGTGGAGATTTTTCGAGCATCGGCGGCCAGCCGTCGCTGGCAACAGCCTGGCCATACTTGGCCAATCACGACCAGCGTCGTGCGCATCATCGACTGCTTGCTTTGGTGGTTGTCCCCATGGCATGCATCAAAAGCATCGGCGACCAGCGGTGGCCAGATGTGGTCAGCATCATGAGCACTATCGGCCGCTTGCTTTGTCTATTTCGCACAGCTGTGGAAAACTCCATGGGCATATGCGGTCAGTCACTACTGTACCAGCATAATGCTCATCATCGGTTGCTCGCAGGCATTATCAGCATCGTCTTCGATTAGATTTTACAGCGTTGAACAAACAACATAGGATTTTCGCTTTGCGTTTTTGCTGTTTACATCTATAAGGGTTCTGGTTCATTGAATGAGCGCGTGTTTAGCCAGTGTAGGGTTCACTGAGTTCGGGAGGTTAGGGTGTTTTTCAGGGGTTTAGCGTCCTGCGGAAATTCAGTAGGGTTGGGGTGGAGGAGCTTGTGAACTGCTTGCCAGAAGTATTAAGTAGTTTGAGCCTGTGGATCCACCAAACGGAGATCTCAGTGGGGCCTGGGTGTGAATCCGGTCCTCCGTGCTGCGCCTTGGCTCAGGGAAAGGCTGAAACTCCTTATGCCTTTCCAATCCATATCGCGTAGGCCTAGGCAGCATGGCTCTAGCGCCATGGCTTGCTGATATCCTTGCTGCAAAGCAGCTGGAGTCTTGTGCGCTTCTTCAGGTAGAGGTGGGAGTTTCGGAAAATAGGGAACCCTAATATAGTAAGGACCCCAAAATAGGGTACCCCATATTTTCGGAAGCCCTAAACCCGTATAGAGCCCTTTACAGGAACCCTTATAGTACCCCTTGAAAGGAACTCTAACTCAGACCCCGAAGAGGATCTAGAAAGTAGATCCCCTAATTTGGGACCCCATACTACTAAGGGTACTTTATAGGTCCTCCCAATAAGGGATCTACTTTTTGGATCCTTCGGCTGATGAAAAAAATCCTGCATGACCCATAATAAGGAATATATCATAGTTCCCATAGTCCAGGATTCTCAAGGTACTGCATTACCCATAATAAGGAGTATACCATAAATCCCAGAGTCTAGGGTCCTTAAGGTAATGCAGGATTTATATCATCAACCGTTCCGGGGGTTTGGGAAAGTACCCCCAACTCCCAGGTTCCCAGGGTAAAAGGAGGGACCCTTAATAAGGACCCCTAGGTATATACCCTGAATATAGCTATGATATACCCACGATATAGCCATTATAGGGTCCCAGGGGTCCCCATTAAGGATCCCTCCTTCTCCCCTAAACCCCCCTCAACCCCAAACCTCTAAACCCTAAACCCTATACCCTTATAGCATCCCTATCGATCCCTTTAAAGGATCCTTAAAGGGCCCCTCCTTTTCCCCAACTCCCAGGTGTCTGCCAGACATGGGGGGAGCTTTCAGGCTCCTCAGTCATGGTGGCGCTGGGTTGTTCTGAGCATCTCGGTTCCTACATTAAGTAGTGCCCTTTTGCCCTTTTTTCTTTTTACGGGTACCCTTATTATATAAATTGTCAAAGGCTTTTTTTGCGGGTCCCCCTTTTTTACAGAATAGTCGGACACAGGGTATCCTTATTATGAAGGCCCTACTCCGGAACCTAGGCATTAATGAACATGCAAGCCGTCTGGCCACGTCCTTAGACGGGAAGTACGGACACTTCGATCTCGTCGCCGTAGACTTTTCCATCCTTGCGTTGGGCTTTGCCCTCCTTGTCGGACTGCTCGACTTGGGCCGGATCTCGGGGGCCTGGTCCTGTCTGCCGTCAGGCAACATAGCCGTCAGGGCATCGCAAGTCGTCTTCGTGGCCAGTGGCTGGCTGGTTGCAGTTACCAGCACTGCGATTCTCACCGTGTCTATCCCTCTGGGTTCTGCTCTTGGCTATGGGGCCGCTTCAACCGGCTTAATGGTCAGTTCAGTGCAGGTTGGAGGGCTGGTAGCCAACCTCACTCTCCACTGCCTTGTTCCTGAGAAGGTGCAGACGGGTGCAGACTTCGCAGCGACGCGCCGTTATGTATCTCTCAGCTTATTCCTCAGCGCCATCTCTCTCTTGGGCTTCGTGCTGGCGGTGTGTTCACCTCTTCGAGACTCGCCAAAACTGCTATGGAACAGCCTATTGGCTTTGCGGTTCCTATCAGGATATTTCGGGAGCAAGGCACAGCTTGTGGCAAGTTGGCTGGCGCTGGAAATGACGCCCAAAAACGAAGTCTTAAACCTACAAGCCGCCAGTCAAGCTGCTAGAAACCTGGGTTTGTTCGCTGGGGTGACTATGTCATCGATATCGCTGATTGTTTTCCAGGAGAAGTTGAGCACGAGGGTCGAAGCACTTGGCCCATGGCTCTGCGCCGCATCTCCAATCATGTTCCAGACGGGGGCAGTGCTGCTCGTTTGGCTTGTCATGGTGCTGATGGTTCCCCACAGGCGACCAACGGGCGACTATACAGAAATGGCAATCGAAAGCAGCCGTGCTGAAACGGCAAGCAACAGTTTAGATGGCATGGAGGTCACTCAGCGACGTCAACTAATTCTGCTCGCTGTCGCATACAGCTTCGAAAGGTCGTTTACCATCACAGCGATTGAGGGTGGAACTACATTGATTTCTCAGAACCAGTACGACATCACGGCCGTCACAACTGGATGGATTTTCGGTTTGATTTCGCTTGGCGCATTCTGCCTCAATGCCGTCGTTGCAGGATGTTCGGTGTCCGATGTTGAAGGACGCGCATCTTTCATGGCAGCTGGAACGTTTCTCAGCGTGTTCATGTCCTTTGGCATATTCTCCTGGTGGCCGTGGTGGGTTATCTATGTTACCGACACCGTGATGTTCACATTTTGTAACACGGCTAATGGCATTGCGGATGGTCTGGGAACCTTGGCAGCCAGCAACGACAGTGACTATACCAAGGGCAAGTTCATGCATCTTGTCACGCATGAACAGAATTAACAAGACATGTAATTATCCATGCACATGCGTATGTACGCCTTTTTGTTTGTCTCTCTCTCGCCGCTCTCTCTCTCTCTCTCTCTCTCTCTCTCTCTCTCTCTCTCTCTCTCTCTCTCTCTCTCTCTCTCTCTCTCTCTCTATATATATATATATATATATATCTACATATATATATATATATACATACACAGATTATCGAAAAGTGATGGGGCACCACGACGACCATGATGACCATAGCACTGACACGACGGCCTTTTCGAGAAACGATCAAGACGATTAAGCACTTGCAAGTCTCAGTGCACTCCGTCCCGAAAGCATGAACCCTAAGGCACCATCAACCCGAGTCCTAAACCGCAAATAAACCCAATTATTCAAGAGCCTTGTTAAGCTCCCGCACATAGACTACTTCTGCGAGCCCATCTTTCACAATATGTTCATTGCCTGCCAGGGCTTACGAAAGGCTCATGGGACAAGCGAATCCCCAACATAGCTTCTTCCAATTCTAAGCCCATGCACAACCCACGTGCCGAACCCCCCGAAGTCCGCGTGCTCGTAACCACCGCAGACTGCTTGAAAGCTTAGGGGACGCGGCAAGTGGTAGCTTAATCGCGGCCTAAAGACTATCTAGGATAGGATGGGCCACACTTGGAGTTACTAATTAGTCTTGTCAATCAGGGATTTTCTTCAGCATTCCTGATAACATGGACCCTCAAATTTTAGCAGCCTCCATGTGCGGCAGAGGGCTGCCGGCTGCAACGAAGATAGATCCTGACCGCAGCTGAGCACCGAATCTGAAAAGCCACTAACTTCCCTTAGAAATCCCTACTTCTCTTATGACCACATGCCGAACCCTGGCTCGCGACAGAACAAAAAGACCATGGCCAATTTGACGGCAACAACTTGTAGGCGAGAGCAATGGCAGCAAACTCAGGGCAAGAAAACGATCATGTGCTGGGACCGTTGAGCGACTAGTTTTCATTGTCTGCTTTGGATTGGACTCAGGCAGTGGAAGATGATGGCCATGCAACTGGGTCGAGTCGTTGGTGCTCCCGTTGCACGGGGCATCATTGATTCTCTTGGACGCAATGCTTATGGTTCCCTACAACTTATGGTGACTCTTTGCGGTTTCTGGGGGACGTACAAGATGCAGCGGATCGTTCGCGATCGATGTCCAAAAGCCCCCTCAAAATAATGCGTGTCACCTAACTCCCTAAACCCAAAACCATACATAAGCCGACGGCGTATGTCAGCCCAGAAGGGGCTCCAACGCCGTCTCTCGCCTGTGCTTGTGCTCGCATCTCGAACTTGAGCTTGATGTTGCGGGACCTCCGGAAAAAAGCTCGCTGCACCAAGACTGTACTTTGTTCAGGGCATTGAATACACTACTACTACTACTACTACTACTACTACTACTACTACTACTACTACTACTACTACTACTACTACTACTACTACTACTACTACTACTACTACTAGAAGTAAAGTGTTCGCATTGCGATTGAAGACATCATGGGCACATGTTGCCAGCCAGGACCCCAAAACCTCCAATATCCGGAGCACCTAGAACCTCTGCCCGATACGCCCACAAGTTTCCTGGTATCTTCATACAAAACCAGGCTAGCTTGCCCGGTCGTACCCCCATGCCGTTTTCACGTTGTGGTCTTCTCCCTGGTCTCCTGCTTAAACTTACTCAGAGGCAGTGGGGCGCGTAAGGAGTCGGTGAACCTGGCATCTAAAGCTTTAGTTCAGCTGTGCCGTTACATGGGATTCGCTGAAACCGTTTGGGGAATCAGCAACAGACACTCACACTTGGGCATCCTCGGGGAGGTTATCCTGGTTCATCTATCAAAGATCTGGCTTTGCTCAGAAACTACACAACCTGAAAGGTTTAGGGTTTAGGGTTTGGGCTGACCTCAGAGCCCAGCTGCAAAAAAGCCCCAGACCTTTAAAACCCTAAATGCACGATTGTGCAGGTTCTGTGTTCCTTTTTGGCTTTTGTGTGAGGGTATCCGTCTACAAACCCTAAGCATCCAAAACCCTACACCCTAACCTTCTGCAGTGCAACACTCAAATTTCTGAATCTGCATGGGAGGAGATTGGCTCGCACACCCTAAGAATCCACAAATCTCCCCAACAAAGGAAACTGCATTTTGGGGGAATTGCCAGGAGAGGCGGAAGCTCTACCGCGATGCTCAAGCCATCGGGTGCGCTCCTCTCAAGGCTTAAGGCTTAGGGTTTAGGGTTTACGGTTTGAGGTGTAGGTTTGTTATTATTGTCAAGCTTTTGATGACCCGGACCAGGTCCGCGAAGCTTTCATAGATGAACCTCCGTGCTAAGGCTGCCTCCTCAAAGTGTAGACTCCCAAGGTTCCCCGACCCGAAACTGTTGGAAGAAGTGTCCCAAGTACCTGTACAGTAGAAAGTAGGGTTTCTGTAGTAGGAATTACTGCAATGGTTTGGAACGGTATCTCCTTGGAGTGATATCTCCAAGCCCTGAACCAACATGCTGAGCCCAGCAGAGTCGCCTTCATGTAAGGCAGTGTGCTACCAGTAGGCTAGATACTTCAATATTTGGGGTCTCGGGTTCCAACTTTTTGGGTGCATATCTACTCCGAACTATCCTAAACCCTAAACCCAAACCCTAAAAAGCAAACAAGCCCTAAACCCGCGAAGCTCTGAACCGTAAAACCCCCGGCCTCTTGGCTTTGCAGCCTCGCAAGACTTCGGCCTCGCACAAAAAGGAGCTCAAACAAAACAGTTAAACCCAAACCCTAAAGGCCCCCCTCCTCCAGGACCCCCCAACTACCCTTGAATGTCTATAATACAAAAGGCTCCTTTAAGTTACAGGGTACTCTGCATAAAGATGCTGCCGATGTCTGCTTCAGGTACAAGCGCTACCAAGTCGCCCGTGCCTTGCGCGACGGCGTGCCGTCGAGTCGCCTTGATGCAAGAATATCACTCCTTGGAAGCAGGTGCTAGTCCTTGCCCTCAACTTCACTAAAGCAGAAAAAACATCAAGAAGCAGACACATAAAAGCCCAAAGACATCCTAAGGCCTAAACCCCAAACTTTCAAGGTCGATGCAGTCAGTGTGTGTGTGTGAGAGAGTCATCAGCTGGCCACAGCATCTGCAGGGCACTGCCAAGAATAAGTCTGACACCGTGTAATCATGATGGATCCTCACAGAATTCGGACAGCCAGCACTTAATCTCAGCAAGCAGTCTACCGCGATGCTCACTTCCCAGAATTAAGCGCCAGGCTCCTCGACGCATCGTAGCCAGATGTAGTCTTCATTGCCGCGCCAGGTACCATGGACGTGCTCATTGACAACATGCTTTACGCGGGGTGAATGCCTCGGATTCGCAGCCTTCGGGATTATACATTGCAGTCCCCATAGATCCCTTTTCGGAGTCAGCCGGAAAGGACCCAAAATCCCGAAGCATTGAGCTTCAAGCGTGATCAGTGATTGCTGGCCAGGTACGGGAAGCTGCCCACTTTCAGGGAAGCGGTGCAGACCTCAACCTTCGGGTGATACATGCTCGATGTGCTGTGTGGTCCAGGGCTGCATGTGTAACAAGCGCTTCTTTCATGATCTTTCTAGTTCCGACAGCGTTCTCAATGCCGTGGTGGCCGTAGATGTAACTGAATCCCATGCAAGTGATCCGAGTCCGTTCTCAACCGATGCATAAAAGTCTATGCCGCACGACAGTACACATATGTAAACTAGGAAGCCCCATGCTCCATGGCCTGAATGCCTTCAACCCTAAAGCCACAGCCCCCAAATTTGCTAAAACCCTGACTCAAAAAAAAAAATGTAGAATCTTGTTAAACCCTAAACAACCCTAATAGAAGAAACTTAAGCCCTTGAGCTATAGAATCCTACTGGAGTTGGAACAACCCATGAACAATCATGTACAACCTCGCGGGTTCATCCGATACAGTATATACCTAGGCCTTTAAGGGAGTACCTCTGCAATGCCTGCAGGGCTAAAGTATATTCCATGTGGGCACTTGAACACTTAGAGCATTCTGCAAGCCAACATTCAAATCTCGTGGGAATACCCTATCAGTACTTTACAAAATCATTTCAGGTCTGTCGTTTAAAAGACCTAAACCCACCAAAAACGCCTAAAGTCTTATAGCTCCCAGTATTGAAACCCGAAGCCTTAAATCCCAAGTGCTAAATCCTAAACCCCAACCCTAAATCCTAAACCTTAAGACCCTACACCCTAAACCTTAAACCCGAAACCCGGAACTTTCAGCAGAATCCGAAGCCCAAACCTTAAACCCGAAAATGGAAACTCTGAGCCGAATCCCGGACTGAGGCTCTGGCAGCCATGTCCGAGGATGCTCCCTTGCCATGGAACCCGTTCTCGCGCGGCCCCTGGCTACGGGTTTCGGATCCCTTCAAAGGGATCTATAGGGAATCTTTAAGGGTGTAGGGTTGAGGGTCCCTTTAAAGGGATCTATAGGTATTCTATAAGGGTATAAGGTTTAGGAGGTTCATGGGTAGTAATACGTGGCGTTATAAGTAAGGTAACTATATACTTATATATAACCCTTACAGGGGGCCTTGGAACCCTACTTATAACTGCCGATGAACCGCCAAGTAGTTTTTTTTTTTTGGAGGGGGGGGGGAGGGCGCCGTGGTTCCTGGTATGTGCATAGCCCATCTAGGTTACAGGGGTTTAGGATTTAGGGTTTAGGGGTTTGCAATTGGCTACAATTTGAGAGCCATAATGACAGGGCGCCTGACGTTCTTCCGGGTTTTCAAAAATTGCGACATAAAGGAGTTTAACAATGTTATTTGGGTTTTCATTTAGAAATATCAGATTTCGTTTGCCAGTTGTCAGAGGGGAGGGATTTAGAAGGGATTTAATGATGTTGTAGGGGGCTATGCCGGATCTCATAGGGGATAAGTAGATAGGTATAAGGTTCTAGCATGTAGCCTCACCGCTTGAAGCCCAGTTACATGTACAACGGGTGATCGTATACTTGTACCATGGTTATACAACGTATACAGGGGCGGCGCCTTAAACCCCAAACAGTGGCTTACCACGCACCGGAGCTTCGCAGGTTACTTAACGGTTACTTAGAGCTGTGGAGCCTAGAGGATTTGGCCGCTTCGGTTGCTCAAAACTGGCAGCAACCAGTGTCCAAGTCCCAGTTATGTCTTGTTTCCGGGGTTCTGGGTTTGAGTTTGGGGTGTTTCAGGTCGTCAGTAGATTCTTAACGTGTGAAGCTTCGGCGGGGATCTTTAACCATCAAGGTTTGGAGATGGGGATGGTGCATCTGCTAGCTTTCTCATGTTCGGCTATCTCATGGAGCCCGTGCAAGAATCTTCAATTCACAAAAGAAGGGGTGCTGTGTAAGGCCAGAACCTCAAGCCGGGACCCCCTAACCCCTTGAACTCTTGAAAATTTGCACCCATATCATATCTCTAAACCCCAACAGCCCTAAACCCGAAGCCCCTGCCCTGAACCTGTAAAGTTCAGCTCTAGATGGATGAAGCAATGCTTTCGGTCTTTTGGTTTACGGTTTCTGAGTCTATAAGGGTCTTCCTGGGTTCCAGGGGAGTTCGAGGTTTGATTCCACGACCATCCTCGCATTTTAAGATCTGATGCTTTGGGGTTCGAGGATTGCAACATACCACATGTTCCACAAAGCCCTACGTTAAATTAACATCCCACAGCTACCTTATTTCAGTTTTGTGTAAAGGAAACCACAATGAAGACACCCTCAAGATTTGGGTTTATTCGGGTTTAGGTAGACCTTTGCTGCACAGCCTGGTCTGCCAAGGGTCATGACTGAGAACAAGAAAAAGATCGAACAGCGCGGCGCTCAGCCAAGAAAGTTCCGCCATTGTTTCGGGGGAGGCTCTCAGTCTACGATACTTGGAGGTTCATGGGTAGTTATAAGTGGGATTATAAGCCAGCTAGTAGCGTTTATAAGTGCAGTTATCTTACTTTTCACCCCACCTATAACTACCCATGAATCTCCAAGTAGGGCTGAGGATTTCGAAATTGGCTTATGTGATGGGAGATTTTGGGCTAGGGATGTGTTGGGATGTGTTGGGTTTGGGTTTCGGAGTTTAGGACCAAGAGATGCATTCCTCCACCCTTCTTGAAGTGCCACAAGCATGATCAGCTGAGCTGTTGTGCTATGAAGTGTGGAAAATGAAGAGCTGAAGTATG